GTTTTTCCATCCCTCCCCCAGAGCACTGGGATTGGAAGGGACCTCAGGAAAGGATGACAGTCACTGGCCAGCTACACAGTCAATAATGAGAGCACTCCTTCCTCCCCCTTGCCCCCTCCCTATCCTTACTTTAATTTCCATTTCCCTTCAGGCAAACCCAGCTTGAACTTTGAAACTCAAAACATTTTGAAAGTTTCAAAACGTTTCTACTCGCCCCATTTGGAAACTGTTTCAAAGCTCTCTGTTTCATTTCAATCTCGCTGTTTTGAGCTTAAAACGAGTCGAAACAGCATCAGAATGAAACTGCCGGCAAAATTTCGCACCGCTCTAATTATTATATGCAGCTAATCCAGCCATGTTTGTAGGCAGCCTGAAGACCCCACAATTTGCAAAGCTGATCCTTTCCTTACAGGAAGACTGGTGCAATCTGTGTGCTCACTCCCCAGCCAAACCCAAAATCAGTTAGCACCAAAACATTTTTGCTCTGAAAATATTGCCTCATTGATGTTGTGCTTGCTTCACTTTTGAATACCACTGGATGGCTTGGTCCAGAGAAAAGCTGCCAGCTTGCTGTTCTTGCCAGACACTCGCATGAAGAACAAGACCGTGTCCAGCAAAAAATTCTTTGCTGTGATGAATGGTTTGTCCAGAGCTCAGGATGGTGTGTTTTCTCTGCAGATGTGAATGAATGTGAGGTCTACAAGCTGGATGGAGCTCCACGCCTGTGTATGCATAACTGCATCAACATTCCTGGCTCTTACCGCTGCTCCTGCCCCAGTGGATACAACATACTTGGTGATGGGAAAAGCTGTGAAGGTGAGAGATGACTTCCTTATTACCTGGCACACAAACTTATGGCATCCTATAAGTATATGGCATTCATACAAGCTGACTTATTTACAGTAGGTACAGTGCAGCATGTCCTGGTGTATGGGGGACGGTAAGCTCCTGTTGACTTTGATGGGTTTGGGAAAGGACCTGTAGTTCTGCTTCTTGGCAAATTTTGGAAGTTCAACGTTTGGCTTTGTTCTCCTAACCCCAACATTCTGCAAAGCCTGAAACCTGAAATGATCCTTACCCTACTGTACAGTAGGGAGCTGGAGAAACTGGACCACAGAGGGGCAGCAAGTTTCTAGGTTCCCAGCTCCCCATTGGCTCCTTCAGGCAGAATACAAGGGAAGCAGTAGAAGAAGACAAGGCATATGTAATAAATCTTGGGTATGCTGGCACATACGAGGGCAAAGGACTGAGTACAGACCCTGATGTGGGGCTGCTTTAAGCAAGTACTCAAATAATACATTTGTCCCTAAGGACAAGACACCTATTCTCTATCCCAAAGGTTGGTCACAAATGGTCTGTGGGTTGGATCCAGCCATTGAACCACAGCTTTGCCTGTGCCCATGCCTGCATTAGGACCAAGCAGTGAGGAGCTGCACTTGGGCTGGAGAACTGCCCCCTGCCTTCTGTACTCCTGCCCCCCCCCCCC